CTTTACACTCGTGTATTATATTTTTTCCATAAATACGATTTACTCATTAACTTTCAAAACTCGAAAATCTGTTTTGTTCAAATATCACAGTAGCAATTATGCTATGTTATTACTAGACAGCAGATCTTTATTCAAAATATGAATTGCCTGCATCTGTCGTCAAAAATAGAAATATCATAAAACTTGCATTCTTTCATTAATAATTTTAGTAGGTCGAGAGCAATATATCGTGACATTATTAAATGTTTTCAATCTTTCGGTCTAGGTATTACTGATGTCCAGAATCCCGTATCTAGTCTCATTAGCATTCAAATTTCAATTCAACGAAAACAATCTAAATTTTCGATCGTCCGAACTCCAGCGAATGAGATTTGTTGGTATTGTTGAGGGGTTTCTAGCTTTCCGACAGAAAACGTTCTTAATAAGTGACGACATTATTTCAATTCGAGTTAGCCGAGCGGAAGAAAATTGCATTCTCATTATTGGCATTGGTTAGCCTCCACATTCAATCCGGCACATGTGCCGCTCTCGCACAGTCGCGCACGAACACCTCGACACGCGCGCATTACACAGATTACATGCAACCGCATATTACATCTTCTCACTATAGGTCGACTCTCGTAATACCCACAGCCTACTTACCTACATTATCCCTGCTACGTGAGTGTCTCTCCACACACTTGCTATTGCTCTGTGTGAACCACCTACTCTTCAATGAAAAAGAAATCCATATGAAACGTAATTGTCGCGCTAGTTCACGGTAACTTCGGTCAAAATCGAATGCCGGCAGCAAATAATAATGACGAATAAAGACATAGAAAATAGGACAGAAAATAAAAATACTAGCGTTTTTGAAGCAACTATAAATACAGGTTGGTAAAATTAATCGTTAACTTGAACGTTTCTGTTACGTGAAAAGGAATGTTACATTTTTTGCCAATTTTATCGAAATATTGATTTTACTAGATCGTATTTAGTAACATACGAAGTGCTGTTTCTCAAAAAATCTTTAAATATACTTTATTTAGTGGTTAATTAATTTTATTATGTATAAGAATTAGACGATTTGTCCAATTGACACGGATCGAAATGTAAAAAGTTTGGGAAATGGGAGCTGGGTCACAGAGCTTTTCATTTTTAGTTCTTGCTTTGTAGAAACCAGTTTCGATTCACGTCAGTCAGTTTGAACTGCTCTATTATCTTGTATTATTTGTAATATTCATTTTTTTTCATTGGCAAGGCTTATTTATTTACTTTACTGTTTTCATGCATTCGTAATGGTTGAACGAGATTTTGACAAGCCTGTCATTTATTTTAATAGGCACCAATCATTATGTGTAGATATGTATAATGAATTTTGGAAAACAGTTTTGCCAGCAGAACACTTTTACACCAATAAGTAGTCTGTATCATTAATAATGAAGAAAGCCTGCTAAAGAAGAAGAATTTATTAGCACCATCGGTATTGAAGTCATGATCTAGAAGAACACTTCACATTGACGAGGAACAAAGTTCCTCCATTAATACCTAATCCTTAATAGATGATGCAATGTAATACTTTTATTAGAGAATTTCAAGTACAGTCATGTTTTGAAGATACATCAAGACTTGAATGTTTCCTTTTTTTTTTATCAAAGACTTCAGACTCGGAATTCGATAAAAATATATAAACGAGGCTTGTCATCCTGACTTCACGACCGACTGATTTGATTTGTATAATCTTATCGCTCGTCTGTAGTTTCAACCATTGCTGCGGATCATGGTAAAATTGCGCAAAATTGTTTATCTCGGTCTCGCTTGTCTGGTGTGCACATCATTTGACTAATTATAACGCTCATAATGATTTGATTGTTCTGTGAAACGCCTTAAGAACGCGCGACGCGTTTCATTGCGATAATTCACTTTTTCCTGATGTTTAGAAAATGATACAGTTTAAACCAATTCTCACAGAAATCCTCGAGCAACCTGAAAAATAGTGTAGTTGAAATTGGAAAGTATACAATTCAAGTGAACAATCTTATTTAAGAAATTGAATACAAACAAAGAAGTGTGACAATCGAACGAATGAAAAAATTAAGGGTTCAGCTTACGGTGATTATGCTTTTTAAAATATTATTATAAATTGTAATTATATATAAGGAAAAGTTACGCGTTGAAATCTATAATTTCGATGAAAATGAAAGAAAATACAAATGAACATTTTTCATTTCAGCTGAAGCTCGTCCGTAGCTCGACGGTTTTCTTATAAATAATATTCTTATACAAATTTGTTATATTATATTAATCCAAATAATTGTTCATGTTACTCATGAAATTATCATCGCTTTCGAAGAATATCTTTTGAGAAATTTTCAGCTGTTGTTGATCTTAGATTTTGAAATGATTGTATGGGGTAATTATTGATTGACAACGCGTTAAACGTGGTAGACATCGGCCTTGTCGCGGAACAGTTTTGAAGCGCAACTGCGTTTGGATTCGAGCACACGAATCGTGAACGAATCGGTAACCACGGTTCAATTATAGTAGTTCTAACAACCTATAGAGAACGTACTCGCCGGATAATCATTAATCCGATCGCGGAAGTACGGGACACGTTAACTTTGACGTTAGTAGGTTTAAAAGTGATATGAGGTGACTGTACATTTTTTTTCCGTTCGTTCACTTTCTTATGCAGTTCCGGTTCTGTCGGCAAGTACGGCAACTCGCGTGCATACTCTCGTTCTCTCTCACACATCTGCATATTTTCCTACGGACGTAAAATAGCACGTGGAGTGCCACGGGAACACCATTGAATTCGTGACCTGTGAGAAACTCGTAAGCAGTAGTTGGTCGCGCAGATCTTCACTGCGCTTGATTTTATACTGTTCTTGCTCCCCTTTCACTGCCTAGTCCACGTCCTTTCCAATAATTTTATTGAAAATCCTCGTTTTTTTGCGTAAACTCGGGACAATTTTACACTTCAAACGGAAATAAGAAATAACTATTTGAGATAATTCGTCTCGTACCGAAACTTTGAATGCTGTTATTAGAAAATAAAGGAAGATGTCGATCCGTTTGAAAAATAATAGCAATTTCAAATAACGAATTATTTCGTTGCTTTCTTATTTCTAATATGTTGAAAGAAGTAATCCGCAAAATAGTATGCAACGGAAAGATTCTATCTGAAGAAATCTTTAAACATCAATTTGCTTTAAGCAAAGCTTTCTTTGAAAAGTTCACCCTTAAGAGATTTTTGTCTGGGTTCATCTGATATCGTCTCGAAAGAAAATAATCGTTCCACTGTTGTCGAAGATGGAAGATGACTGTCATTCTTCTGAAAAATGTTTCTTGTTATCGGATAAGCATTCAAGATAATCTTGATCGATCCTTTTATGTGACTGTGGAAGTCAGTATAAGCCAGACTGGGTAATTTAACAATTTTCTCAAATGATTAGTTCAAATTAATTATTTGAACATTATTTGAAATAACGTTTGAAGCAATGTATTATTTTACTTTATAATTATCTGAAATAATTTTTCAGGTAATTATAAAGTAGAATGATACGTTATTTCAAATAATATTTCGAATAATGTTATGCCAAAAGTGATCACAGGAATGAATATAATTACAAAATAAAACAAAATGTTACTTGAAATAATGTCTCAAATAATGTTGTTTCAAATATGCCTAGATCTGGTTTTGAAAATATTTCGTCAATCATTTGTATGTCAAAGGCGACACTATTTACATTAGTTGATAATGAAACGCATACAAACATATTATGAAGTGCAGTTTTAACGATTATCGAGTGTCATAAGCAATGTAGCCAACTATGTAGGGATGTGTGCCATGTATTAATTATTTAATTAATATACATCAAGCAACATGAATATTGAAGCGAGATAATAGGACACATTAAAATCCTATACTGTCGCAATAAAACTACTTTTCTTATTTCTTTCAATCAATTCTACAACTAACATACTGCTGTAAAATAGTAAGCTGTATATTGTCATTAAGTTCCATTTCCGTTATTAATGTAGGTTTTTTGCAGAATTAACGTTCCTAAATGAGTGGTAATCCACCGAAGAAGTTTATCGTTAAATTTATTTTTACCTCGAATTTCTACATCAATTCTGTATGCTCACCTGACGTGATTTTTATTTAGAATAAAATATTTATTACAGTACCTGCGTATTTAGTACGATTTGATTATCGTGGTGTAACGGTGCGTCATATTATTATCGAGGTCGGCATAAATAAATTAATAAAAATATTTGGGAATAATTCCTCCTGAAATGTAATTAGTATAACAATTAGTGTAATTATTTGCTTTAAGTGAAACTGTTGGTTTGTTCTAGAATAACACAAAACAATTACCCATGTATGTTTCTCAGGAAGTGATCCACTTTTGGCCCATCTTGGGCGCACGTTTCATGCTTATCGATTTCTGCGACGAGCGTGCAATCTTTCTAACACAATTCATATAGCGTCGCGACGTGTAATAAAAGTTAATTTTTCGATTAGTCCAGCACGCTCGCTACGTATCCTAATTGACATAAAGATAGAATTCTACGAAATTCTGAAATTATAAAAGAGCAGTAGAGATAGGAACTAGAACACAATTGTTTCTACGATCTTATTTTTGAAAAATTAATTATATCAACTTAACGAAGTCTTTAAATTGCAAACGAAGCAAGCAAACGAAGGTTTTCTTCATATTTTATCTGTCGGTATGAATGGATAATTTCTAGAATTCATTTAAAATTGAAAAACGCAGGACATTGAAATCTCGAATTTTGGAGAAGATTCCGATAACAAACATTAACAAAGTAAATAATTTATGCGCGGAATGATTTGTTAAAAATTTACGATTACTGATAAAAATAGAGCAGAACTTCTTTAAATATTTTTTATTAAATAAACATCTTTCATAAAGAAAGATACGAAGTTCTTACTGTTCTCGTTTAAACTTCCGACATTTCGTATGCACCAACCTAATGATGTCGTGTGGTTACAGATTTTCTTAGCATTCCTACTACTGGTCCTCGTATGCGGAACATCCTCGACCTTGAAAAATGATCGAGGAGGGTCGTCCTTCAGCGGCCGAGGACCCGTCAGACTGAGTCGAAGGATCGCGTTAAACGAATATCTCGTCCCGCCACCACCACCAAGACAGCATCCGTTTCGATCGGGAAGGCTAGCCAATCCTCAACCAGCGGAACCTCCCGGCTATTTTTCGAAATTCATGAATTGGTTGAGTCCGTTCGGTTTCGGCTCTCCTGGATCAATGCCGTTGAAACCACCCCCGTACCACGAACCCTCTTTCCCTCCGCCACCTCAAGGTCACGCTACGCCGTTTAATTTACACGCTGGAGCCTCGCATCCGCCTCCGCCGCCGCATCCTCCGGCTGGACCACCGTCCGACTTACCCCTGTACCCACCTCTTAATCCACCACCCGGTCATCCTGGCCCGGCCTTCACGCCTCCTCTGAACACACATCCCGTTCTGCCTCTGAGTTCTCCTCCTGGTCAGCCTGCACCACTCTACAAGCCTCCTCCGGCCGCCTTACACGAGCCGAAACATTATCTTCCTCCTCAACAACCGAAAGGGAAGTCCTGCAACCCTTGCAACAAGGTTCCCTGGATACCGATGCAGGGTAGCGAGCATCAACCGAACCAATACCCGCCCGCGCCGCAACCCTCGAACGGTTATCTTCCTCCCAGCAACCATGGAAGTCACGACGCTCAGTACGCTGCTTCTCACGACATCAGGGTCCCGGACTTCCCTCGCGTGCAGGCCCAACAAAACGGGCAAGCAGGCGCGATAGCTCCGGTTCAGAATCCGCTGTTGCAGCCTAATCCGGTGCCACCGCTTTACAGCGCGGAACATTTCGGCCAACCCTCGCGGAATCCTCCGACCGAAGGCTTCGGCCTTGAACCGCCGCCCATACCATCGTCGGTCCTCGAAGGACATTTCAGCGACATCGGGAACCACGATCAGACATCCAGCGGGACGCAAATAAATCAAGACCGAGCGAACGTCGTGCCGCAGAGCCACGGGGCAGGGATCGATAACGGATTAAACGAACACGCAGCATCGTTCGGCGCGTCTGACCTCGACAATCAGTCCGTAATCTATGGGACACCCGTGGATCAGGGGTACCCCGAACCGCTGAACCACGGAGCTTCGATCCAAGATAACCCGGTCGCGAGCTTCGGGTCGTCCGACCTTGGTCACGAAGAGGATCATGGATTCGCTAGTCAGAACGGGGATGTCTATCGAGAATCATTCGAACCGAACCCGGGTCACGATGCTGGCGCGCATTATTTGGGCCCGGACTTGGGCCCAACTAGCTTCGACGGCGCTCGTTTTGGCAACCAGGCTGCCGGGAACTTGAATTATCAATACTCGGACGATTTGTCGCCCAGCAGTAGCGTGGTCAAAGACACCCGCGCGGACGCGACCACGAAGAACGAGTCGATATACGTCGAGCAGTCGCCGTTGCTGGACTTGACGAAGGAAAGCGAGAATCGCGGCGAAGCGCAGTGGCAATCGCAAATAACCACCGACGGAAATGCTCTGGAACCAACAACCACTTACCATTTCGACGCTATCAACACGTTCCTCGACAACTCGTCGAGCTTCGGTGGTCTGACAGATTCTTACGGTTCGTCGAATCATCAGGATGTCGACGTTTACGGACAGTCGACGCCGTCGACGCTCGGTCTCTCTGAGAACAACGAGGGACGTTACACGGAGACGGCGACCGTTGGTTCACAGTTTACGAATCAGCAAGACGTTTTGCACGCAGCGACGTCCGGCCAATCGGGATACGTCTGGACCAGTTTGTTGTTGGACAATCCGGATTCGAAGAACGAGTCGCAGAGGCATAAAGAAGCTCCGAATTTCGAACAGCAGGCTAGGCCGGATTCGAGGGATACGAACGAAACGGGCCAGAAACAGCAGAATACGAAACGGAATAAACAAGTAAGTCTAATATATTCTTGATTTGTGTCCGACTCTGGCGTCTGGTATCTTTATAAAGCAATAATTTGATTTTAGCATGTTCTTGTACACGAAATCTTTCGAAGCACATAGACTACGTTTTCGTACTTGTTTTTCGATTTTCTAGTTTTTCTAGTCTCGCTTACGAAATTGTAATTGTTTCCAACCTATTTCTAACGTTCCGTGTATAACAATACAAATTGGTTGACACGCGTAACGATCGATCAATAAAAATAGTAATTTTTAATCATTAGTTAATAGTTGTTATAGTGACGCGTGTGATGATGTATGTTCTATGATTGTTCCCAGGAGCAACTTAAAAACAACGTTCGAAAATCGTTACCGAAAAAGATTATAAAGCGACTGCTGCAAAATATACATTTTATTAAATCTTAAAAAGTCATATTGCCGAAATTGTCATATTGGTATAAGTTACATTGATCGATTCGAAATGTTTTCTCGATGAAAACGAATCGAAATTCGCGAAGATTAAGTCAGTACTGACGAAACTTCACTCGCGGCAAACCAATAAACCTAGTTTCTGGGACTGTCACAGCGGTGACATCGCATAAATTTCATTGACAATCCGCACGTATCACCGTGTTGGTAATCGCTTGTTCTTGCGTACAGGGACTCCGAGTTCAGTGGACGGAAAATGTGTTCTTTATTACGAAATAATGCTGTTTTAGGTGCAAGTCATAATACCGTACACGTCAGATTACACGCCAATACCATTCCAACAATCTTCCGGAGATTGGAGCGTGAAAAATAATCGTGAAAGGACACAACCGAGGAAAATTCCACTGTCCAGTGATCCGAATATTAATGATTATGCCCAACAAGAATCGAGAAACGATATTCGACTGATCAATCAATTACAAGCGCAATTCAACCTGAACGATTCATACAAAACGAACATAAGAATGTCCCAAGCGAGGCTCAACGATACAAGAACCATCAAAGCAAACAGTTCTATCGATGTTCGGAGGTTACAGAAGAATATTGACAACTGGACGATACAAGTAAGATACAATTTGTTTAATTAATTTGATGTTCTTCGATGTTAACCATGTGCTGTACAATGTCTTTCACAGCTGCATTGATTGACACTTATTTGTCGTTAATAAAGTACTATTAGTATTATTTATTTAATACAATACAGGAAAGTTTCCTATTATACTTATGTTAGTTAACTGTAAGTATAATTTACATAGTTGCCTAGTTGTTTCATTGTGTTAATTAATGACGCATGAGTTTACTATCGGAGAAATAATAAAATAAAAAAAATTATTCTTATTAAGAGGGAATAAAATAAAATACAATATAATATAATATAAAGTAAAATAAAATATATACGGAGAATGATCTTAAAAGTGTGAAGTTTTAACCCTTAAATGCATAGAGTCCCAAAAATGAATCAATAACTTTTTGCGCGGATACCCGCGCAAAGTTTTTGCGTTTTTTGATATCGATACATTTGGCTGAATGGCAGTGATTCCTTTGTCCATTGACTTATCAAAAATTAACTAAAATAATGACATTTGACTTCAATATTTGTATCTTTCTGACGTTATACCAATTGGCGCGCATTTTTGATAGCGGGTTCATTTACGTACTTTTGGAAGTGGATTATTTAGAAATATTTTGGTGTATTCGTTAAACAAACAATATTTTCTAAAGGTAAGGCTCTTATTTATTAATTTGCTAGTACTTTTGTCTATATTCCGTAACTATCATGTGTATGGAGGGCTTATTTCGTGTTGATGCAAAAATGGGACAACATAATGGTAATGGTAATAATTACGACATGTATTTAGTACTATGCTTCCTTTATTGGTTTGTTGGTTTTGTTTTGGTGTGGTATGCATGTGGTTTATAATTTTGTTATAGATATGTCATACTAACTAAAGAATTTTTATGTCTATTTTGCATAGTGTACCAAAAATGAATCATTACTATTTTTCAATAAAAACCCTATAAGATATGACTTATAATTTTTTTTAATATTTTTCCCGATTTCCACTCATTTGAAAAATTATAACCCTATTTTTTAAATAAAATTCATTAATTCATGCATTTAAGGGTTAAATAATTTTGATTCCATTTAAAACGAGTGAACGATACCCATATTTAGTAGATTATGTTCGAAATCATCAAAACAGGTCCGACGTATCGTAATGCAAGGGGTTGACGAATATTCAATTCTGATATGCACAAAACGAGAATTGAATAATGCTTATAGAAAGAACTCATTTGTTTCAAAAAGTGCTCGAACATTAATGGAACAATAACAGTTTAAATGTCGAAAGTTTTCCGAAAATTGACGATTTAATGTTCAAATACTTGTTGCAAAGTGACGTGATACGTTGTATTTCCAAAATAAAAAGAATCAAATTTGGAATAACGTAAAATTTATTATTCAGGAATACTCGAAACCAACACCGTCCAGTACTATTGTACCAAGTTCTTCACATCCTTATCTTCTGCCATCTAAGAAAATTCCGACAGAGTACTTAACAACAACCGAACCCGGCGACCAGACGAATGAATCGAAAGACAGCAGGGAGAGCGTGAAGTCGTATTCTTTAGCTGGCTTTAGCTTCAACGAAGTGGATCACGAAGGTTCATCCAGCAATCATATCGAAACAGTTCAATCGGTAATTTTCTTTCAAATTTTATAAAATGTACTGTCATTTAACCCTAGAAAGATAACCATATGACAACGTACGTAAAAGATAACCATACGCTTCAGAGGCGCATGCTTTTCTAAGGCGTCAATTTTATACTAACAATGGATATTTATTTAAGTTAATCTAGTCATTTTAAAGGTTTGGCATTATTGTAAAAATAAAATGCATTTATATTATATTTTTTTATATTTTAAGTAATTTTAAACTTAAATCACTAGACCTCTATGAAAAATTAACAAAAATCAACAGTCTTCGCAGGCGCCTCTGCGACGTAGGTTATCTTTCTCGGGTTAATCGACGAGAATGCATGACAATTGGTTGAATGTTATTCAAAGTGTTCCTTCTGTTATCAATCGTACTAATTAAAAGGTGTCATACTGCAAGTTTATAATATTTATGCTTTCTAGTCACAAAGTGCCAAAGTTGATAAACAATAAAATATTAGAAAATTACAACGCGTATAATGGTAACATACGATTGTTAGTTAAATATCAGAAAAAAGACATATTATGATTTGTGTTAACATTAAAAATTCCAGGCTTATATGCCTTTTTATGACAAAAAAGAATAACAATTTTATTTCAACCCATGCTTTTACATTCAGGTTACAGTTAATAAGCCATATTATTATTTTATTTCTTTTTTTCATTTCCTGTATCGTTTCAACTTGTAATTATCATTCTTTCATCTGTACGAGCATGACACTTTCATAAAGTCGAACATTTTGAGAAAACTTCAGAATAAAGCAATGTTTCGGCGGACAATTGAACTATTAAAATAGTAGTCACGATAGTATTGAATTTTATTTTGTAGCCAGTGCAAGTCGTGCGAGTAGAAACATCGAAATCGTCGTCCGGTGACTCTGAAAGTACAAATAAAGCTACAACGGAACGAGATCAAAGTTGGGGAGGATATTCTGTGACGATATCGCCGGTGAACAAAGAAAAAATTTACGTGGTGACGCCGCAGTCGGTCCCAGCGACGTCTCCTAAGACGAGTTTCGAGAAACAGAAAAGGGAGAACTTGCAGAAAACGAATCAATTGAACGAGAGTAATTCGAAAAACAGTAACGACAGCACGGATGGATTCGATGCGATCGAGAAAGCTTACCAGGTGCTTCCACAAGCGGTGAATAATTTAGCGGTCGCGTCCACTGGGAAGGAAGAGATTCCTTTATGGGGAATCATGGAGCACGAAGAATTTGCTACCCTGAATTTAGAAGGAAACGATGATGAAGCGGCTGATGATGTCGTGGACGGACCGGTGCTTTATACCGGACACTCGAAGGTAGAAAGATAGAGAAAATAATGAAAAGTTTCTTGTTGAAGTTTTTTGAGATCATCAGAATTTATTCTTACATCTCATTGAGTTTGTTTTCTAAATTAATACTTTATTTACCGGAAGCCTAATAATAGGCTTCCTGAACATTAAGTCGCATGCGAAAGAAGCTCGATCATTTTCTGTTAAATAATAACATTAGAAGCAATCGCTACATATCATTAATCCAAATAATTCGTGGAATTGCGGATAAAATTGTTGTCGCTTTTAAACAATTTTTTAAGAAATTTTCAATTTTGAAACGACTATTAGAAAACTAGCGGTGCATAAAGTGTATTCAGTTGCAGAAACAGAATCGTGCAATTTAAATAGCATATTTATTTATTTATTTATTTATTTATTTATTTATTAATTTACGGATAAACGAAATCGATTAGATAAGAAATACACGTTACAGTGACGGATAAAACTTAAGTAAACATAATGTTTATCGAAGATTTGAGCACGGAAGAGGAAGTATCGAAAAGTTTAGCATACGTATGAACGTATTAGTAACAGCACATTTCATTATTTATGGATATAAACGTGTACTAAATTCTAATATCACTTTGGTGTAAGTGATTTGTTGTTAAGCGAATAAGTGATGTCAAATAAATGTTGTTTACAGGTTTCGCGCGCTAAGCGATGATAAGAGGATACTGTCGCGAATATGTGAGAGTTAGGAACAATACTAAATAACTGCCAATAATTAGTGAATTTCTAACTTTACAAAACACATGTATTCCTGTTACTTTAATGATAACTACACCGTAATATACAAACGAAATCATTTTCGACGGTCGAGTGTAAGCATGGAACTTTGCAATGGCCAGTGAGTATTTATACTTTCTATACGTTTAAGTCGTTTGTAAAATAATAGATAATTTTGTAAAAAGACTCGAACAATGTTAAGTCTTCGATAAAAAAAGTAAGTACTTCAATTGATTTTTCTATAAGAACGATCATTCTATAATCACGGAATACTGCACGAACATTAAGTATGACAATACCTTTACATTTATGCAGACAGTATTTTTAACATTGGTGCTTTGTAAATATATATATATACATATATACGTAAACATACATTATATGACGATTAAGATACGATTAGTACGATAAGCGTGAATTAATCGTAAGCGTAACTATTAGTGCACTGGAGTGTAAATTTTCTAGTTAATATTGTATTATATTAAAAAGTTTATTGGCAACTGTTTGTTCGCGTTATAAAATGTTAAATCAACCATATGGTATTAATTACAAAACTTATTACAAATTCTGATATGAACACGATTCGTGAATTTAGAAATACGATATGTGTGCGTGTGAATATTTAACATTCAATAACACCGATAGATTTTAGCAACGAATGATAATTATTAATTTGTCTGTTTGTCCAAGAGAGTTTCTCCCAGCGACTTTCCTTCGCTTTGCTATATTTTCTCCAAAAAAGAAAAAAAACGGAAACAAAACCTTACAGCTTTTCCTTATCCTCACTTTCGATGGTTTCACGTAATTGGTAACCGGCCAAACGGCTTCGGCAATTTGTATTCAGACGTCGGCGTCGCTGCACATTCATACGTATAGAGCATGCCGAAAGATTGACAATGTTTCTGACTTTCCCGATTATACGGTGAAAGGAGATCATATTCCGGTTCACGTTGTCCCATCGATTGAAAAGTGCAGACACTTTACCATAACTTCGTGACTGAAATTTAAGAAGATGCTACTCTCTAATTTCCTTACAATTTAAAGCGTCGCAAAGGCACCGTAGAAACAGGAACAAAGTTAACTTTGACATTTAAGATAAACGAGCCCATGAGAGAATCACTCGTTGAGTTGAAGAAGGATTATATTGGCCGTGATTCTATTATGATTCTATTAAAGAAGATATTCTATTGATTGAGATGTGCAGATTTCTCTTGCCTTTATTATAATACTTAATATCTCCTTAAGATAACGTGACAAAAGCTTCAAATAGAATAAATCGAATTATTTCGTTTATAATTTAAAGAACTTCTTGAATTATTGTATAAAGTTTTGTTTAAATCTACTATTTATAAACTATTGTATGAAAGCAAACATTAAGAACAGATTTTCATTGTGAAATACGATATAAAAACGATGTTAAAATATATCACTTTAAAGACCAGATTTATAAGACAATATAAAGCAATATAAAGCTATATAAAAGCAAACTCAAATTCGAATTGCTTTCTAGTAACTGCATTTATAAAATACTATATAAAAGCAAGATTTTTGTATAGATTTTTATAGGCCAGATTCATAAAATACTGTATCAAAATAAACTTAAAGTTGTAGAACTTTTTAAACACTAGATTTATATATATACAATAACGCAATATAATTTAAAAAATTAATACTCTGCATATTCACTTTTCCTAGACAAGGCAATATTATTATTAATTATTATATTATCGTACTGCGCTCACTTTATACACAGTATACAGTATTTTATATGTATATATTATGTTTAGTTCGAGGAGCTCGTTATCTCAAATTTTCAAGGTTTACCAAAGCGTAAAATAGACGTAATCATCTTCTTTAAACAAAGCTCGCGGCAGCATGCTGATTTCTGCACGGTGTATGAGAACTTTTACCGGAAGGTTCTGGGAAAAAACGACCCATTGTTACCACGGAAGATCGCGGCTGTAAAAAAGACAGGAGCTGAAGTAACGAAACACTTCACGTCATTAAGTCTATTCCCTGCAGCGAACGACATTGAACAGGCACATGACCTTAATTAAAGGCAAGATGATACGGTGGTTACTGTACCATGTAGAAAGTGTCGTAGAATTTGTTGCTACTGTAAAATATGGAAAATAACGTGACTGATCACC